TTCTTCCAATCCTGATGCCACATTCTTCTTCATAGAGTCCAGCTTCTTGAATAATCTGTTCAGCATACAGATTAAAAGAATACAACACTGACACATACATTTTCTAATTTTAAATCAAATAATATTTCTTTGCTCTGTTTGCAAGTCTTAGTCTAGGTATAGATTTTGCATGAGCACAATGAAGTGTTCTGGAATTCTCATATTTCTCCGTGTTAATCATAATTTTTTATGATCCACATTGTACAGAATACCTTTGCTTAATGAATAGAGCACAAATAGACATTTTTCTGGTGTTCTTTAAGCTAGGATGCTTCTTATATCTGCAATGATATTACTAATGTCACAGCTTCTACTAAATCCAGCTTGAATGACTGGCAGCTCTTCATGTACTGTTCTAGCTGGTTTTGGTGCTTTGTATTTTTTTCCTAGCCATTTTTGGGTAATCCTCCAGCAGTATTTTTTGCTTACATGTGATATTAATAATATTGTTCTGTAGTTTTCACATTCCGTTAGATCACCTTTCTTGGGAATGGGAATAAACATGTGTCTTGCAATCAATCAGCCAGGCAGTTCCAAATCTCCTGGCATAGACTGGTGACCATGTCCAGGACTGTATCTGTCATTGGAAACATTTCAATTACTATCCCATCAATTCCAGAGGCTTTATTTTTTTGCCATTGCCTTCAGTGCAACTTGAATTTCTTCTTTCACTACCATTGGCTGTTGATCATATTGTACTCCCTGTAGTATTTCATTGTTGGCCAATTCTTTTTTGTACACTAACTCTTTGTATTCTCTCCATCTTCTTTTGATTAGAGTTAATCTACATACTTCTGATTACTTCATAGGTTAGATATTTATATTCTTGATTGCTTATCATTGTTCTAGTATAGCATTTGTCTGTCAGTTTGCTGTACTTGTGAGTTGCTATGATGTTGAAATATATGCCAGCAGTGTGTCAAATGCCAGAAGGGTCACCCGGGGTGGACAGGTTTTAGTGGAGCTCCCAGATTAAGACAGATAAGGAAGAAGGATTGGCCATCTACTTCTGAAATAACAGACCTTTGAAACCCTATAAACAATTAGAGGAACGTGAAGAGATATAATATTAGGGCTAGAGCCCAGATTGGCACTCAAAAAATGAGGAGAAACAGCTGCAAATATCCTTTAAAAATGGGAATATGGAAAAAAAAATGGGAATATGGAATGTACAGAGTATGAATGTTGGAAACCAGAAGTTGTGAAAAACTAAATGGAATGCATGAACATTAACATTCTTGGCATTAGTGAGAAAAAATGGGCTGGCTTTGGTCACTTTGAATCAGACAGTCACATGGTATACAATGCCGAGAATGAAAAACAGAGGGAAAGAGTGGTGTTGCATTCATAGTTAAAAAGAAAATTTCAAGTTTTACCCTGACGTAAGTGGTGAGTGAAAGGATATTATCTATACACACACAAGGAAGACTTGTTAATATGACTATTATTCAAGTATGTACATCAACAGTTAGAGCCAAAGAGGAAGAAGTTGAAGATTTTAAACAAATTTTACAGTCTAAAATTGATCAGACATGCAATCAAGATACATTAATGATCATTTGTGATTGGAGTGCAAGAGTTGGAAACAGTGAGGAAGGAAGTGTAGTTGAAAAGTTAGAACTTGTTTTTTAGTGAGATGGAAAAGGCAATCTCCAGTTTCATTTGGAATGGAAAGAGGCTCCAGATAATCAAAGCACTCTTTAAAAAGAGAAACAAGGTAGGAGGCATCTCACTCCCTGATTTCAAATCCTACTACACTGCCGTGGTGGTCAAGACAGCGTGGTACTGGTACAATGACAGACACATAGATCAACGGAATAGAATTGAGAACCCAAAAATCAGCCCATCTATAAATGATCAGCTGATTTTTGACAAGGAGATGAAATCAGTTAAGTGGAGAAATGACAGCCTTTTTAACAAATGGTGTTGGCAAAATTGGAAAACCATCTGCAGAAAACAAGACTTAAACCTCATGCCATACACAAAAACCAACTCAAAGTGGATCAAGGACTAAAACCAAGGACTATAAACGTCATCAAAGAAAAGCTTGGAAGAACCCTAGAAGCCCTAATTCACAGCATGAACAGTCTTCCAAGCATCCTGAAAAACTTACAACCAGGAAAGGATAAAATAGATGAATGGGATCTTCTAAGAATCAAATACCTATGCGCATCCAAAAACTTCTCCAACAGGGAAAAACAGAAGCCACAGACTGGGAAAAAATATTTGGTAATGACATATCTGATAAGGGACTTATATCTAGAATTTATAGAATACTTGAGCAACACAACAAGATAAAGGAAATACCCAGTTGCAAAATCGGCACAGGATATAAACAGACGCTTTGCCAAAGAAGACATTCAGATGGTAAATGAACACATAAAGAAATGTTCAAAACCCTAGCTCTAAGAGAGATGTAAATCAAAACAACTATGAGATATCATTTCACCCCCGTAAGAATAGCAAAATTCAACAGAACAGCAAACAACAGATGCTGGCGAGGTTGTGGAGAAACTAGAACCCTTATTCAACTGTTTGTGGGAATGTAAAATGGTGCAACCATTATGGAAGGCAGTATGGTGCTTCCTTAAAAAGTTGGAAATAGAAATACCATTTGACCCATCAGTTCCACTACTGGGAATATACCCTAAAGTAACCAAAGCTGTCACTCCAGCAGATATATGCACAGCCATGTTTATGGCGGCTTTGTTCACAATAGCAAAGAGTTGGAAACAACCTAAGTGCCCATCAGCAAACAAATGGAATACTATGCTGCACTGAAAAACAAGAAACTCATGAAATATTATACGAAATAGGTGACCCTGAAGGACATTATGCTGAGTGGAATATCTCAGTCACAAAGACAAATATTGCATAGTGCCACTGTTGTACAATGTGACTGACATGGGGTTGGGAGAAACCCAAAGAAAAGAAGGGATAAATAATGTATACTGCACTGAAACAGATGAGGGAGAAGACCTAATTTTTTATTATTAATTTTAATGAACATTTACAGAGATTTTGGATTTCCATTCAATCATTGCTGCACTTTTCTCCCTGCCCCCCCCCCAAGTTCACTCTTCTTTTTGAAAAGTAAAAGTCCTTCATTGGTATACAATCCCCCTGCACTCCCACCCCGAGTATACTCCACTCTGCAACCTTCATTCCGGACTCTTATGATAATCATAAAACCCTATAATATATTGCTTTTAAACTGTTCTCTCCCCCATTTCAGTGCAGTATACATAATTCATCCAGTTTTTCTCATTCTTGCCCCAACCCTGATGTCAGTCCCATTCTATAGCAGTGATACTATGCAGTGTTTGTCCTTTTGTGACTGAGATATTTCAGAGAGACCTGTTTTAAAGGAATATATCATTAGGTATTATTTTCTTGACAAGAGTCTAGAATAAGAACTACATAGTAAACTAGACTGGGGAGAGTTGTATAATAATGAAAGAATATTTTTTTTCTTTTCAAAGAGAAAAGCTAACTACAGGGGAGAGGTGGGCGGGGAGGAAAATGAACAAAAATGTATGGATGGAATTCCAAACTCTCTCTAAACTTTCATTAAAATGTAAAAAAAAAAGAGTAAGAATTTGGTGACAGAAATGAGGTTGACCATTGAGATACATCTTTTTTTTCTTAATAAGTCTGCATGCAGATTAAGAAGAGCTGAAAGAGTAGTATTTTGCTAAGATATGCTAAGATATAATTAATCAGTTTTCTGTGGTTTTAAAGTATACCTTATGAAATTTGAAAAACTAATCATTATTTGGAAAAGATATAATTTTTAATCTTTGGTTATAAATAATCTTATCAGAGGTCCTTTGGATAAACTCAATAAAATAGAGCGTTCAGAATTATTCAGGCATTTTCAAAATTATTCAAGGCTTTTCAAAAGTCATACGTGGTAAAACAGTTGAATGATATTTGAATCATCAATATGCTATGTCTAAATATTTCATTCTGAGAATTAAAGGAACTATAAAAGATAAAATAAGGTGCCAGATTAATTATCCATTTATAAATCATATGGAAAGTTATAATTATAATTGTACAAAAAAACCTCCACCAGAAATCAATGAGGCTTGCTTTGGTGTAGAGAATTGCCAGATCTAATTTAGATAGGCTAGAAACTTCTATTAATCCATCCCATAAGTTCCGTCATTGGCTCATCCAATACAATTAAAATGCAGCAGTGAATCTGCCAAGCAAGATCTCACAGAGGGAAATGATTTTTATAAATATTTGGAGATGGAATCATAAGTGTATATAGAATGAACAGATGAGGCTGAGGTGATCTTGTGACCAAGAAATAAATGTCATGTAGACCAAAAGTCTTTACTTTGGGAGCTGTTTGTACAATGGGAAAAGGTGAGCTGACGAACTTCCTAGAGGGGCCACCACTTAACTATGATGAAATAAAAATTTAAACAAAAATAAAAATTGTACTTTAACAGTAAAACCTTGTGTGTATTGGTGATGATGTAACTAATATTTATCATCACTCTTAATATAGAGATGACTTCTGCTTCTGTCCAAGTCACAGTTTTACATATCTTTAGTCCCTAAAAGGATTGTCTTTAACCTTCCCTTAAAAAAATTTAAATTAGAAAATTTAAATTAAAAGAATTTAAATTAGAATATCAGATTATAAACATGATTAAACATTTTAAGCATTTTCGTTATTTATATTACACAATTGTTTTTGCTAAATTTGTTGATATTGATTACTTTGAAGATATTCCTATCTTCAGAAACTAAGGTATTCTAAGGATTAAATAGATACTGTGGAAATAATATAGGATATATATTTTATGCATTTAATTATATCTGTCTTTTCACTCCAAGTAAGTTTATATGTGATACCAACCTACATATGATAGTGGTACTTAATAGTACTTTATTAAATTCTTGGGGGAGAAAAAAATCTGTAACTAATGTTTTCGTTTTCACAGGAAGGGAGGCAATAATAAGTTAATAAAAATCTATCATCGGGATGGTAAATACGGCTTTTCTGATCCTCTGACTTTTAATTCTGTGGTGGAGCTCATTAACCATTATCATCATGAATCTCTTGCTCAGTACAATCCCAAACTTGATGTGAAGCTGATGTACCCAGTGTCCAGATATCAACAGGTATGATAACAGAAGTTTATCATAGTGCCACCTAAACCGTTAGTGACCGTATTACATGATTCTAGCTTAGTAGTTTTAGCATGTTGTTTTAAAAAAGAAATTAGTATTTTTCACTTTGTACCCTAAGTGTAGACATGTTGCAAGGAAGGACCAATCCTTGGAGAAGGACATCATGCTTGGGAGGGTGGAGGGACCTGGCAGGAGAGGAAGACCCTCTCTAATGAGGTAGATTGAGTCAGTGACTGAGGTAATGGGGGTTGGTGTGTCAGAGACAATAAGGTTGGCACAGGGCAGAGCAGGATTTAGGGCTCTTGTACATGGGGTTGCTGTGAGTCGCAGGTGACTCCACGGCACATAACAACAACAACAACAACAACAACAACAATACAACCGTAAACATATACAGTATTTCTGAAACTTAGTTGGGGCTGTCTTTTATTAGCCACAGTATCTTTCATGCATGTATTTATTAACCATGTATAAAAATACTTCTACTAACAACAAAAAGACAACTCTATTGTAATATGGATAAATATCTTAAGTAGACATTTAACCATGGAGGACATTCAAATGGCTACCAAATTCAGCAACAAAATGCATTATATATATTTCTTTTAAATTTGCTATCAAATACATGAAAAGATGCTTACTGTCACAGCCATCAAAGAAATGTAAACCCAAATCACAATGAGATATTTTTTCACTCACTGTTTGAGCTAAGATGAAAAAAGGAGAAAATAATAAATATTGGTGAGAATGTGAGGAAATTGGAATCCTTATCCACTGCTGGGAATGTAAAATAATACAGCCTTTGTATAAAACAATTCTTAAAAATTTTTACAATAATTGGATGTGGAATTAATATATTCTGCTATTTGTATTTACTTGTGTAGGATCAATTGGTAAAAGAAGATAACATTGATGCAGTAGGGAAAAAACTGCAAGAATACCATGCTCAATATCAGGAAAAGAGTAAAGAATATGACAGACTATATGAGGAATATACCAGGACATCCCAGGTTAGTTATATATAACCAAAAGTTTATAATGTTACCATTTTTCCCTATCATTCAGCTGATGATTTTTACCTGTCTTGATATCTTAAACTGCCTTTTTAAACTTTGAGGATATAAATATTTTATTATTATTATTAATTTCAGTGAATATTTACAGATTGTGGATTTCAGTTCATTCATTGTTGCACTTTTCTCCCTGCCCACCACCACCCCAGTTTGCTCTTTTCTTTAAAAAGTAAAAGAAAAATTCGTTCATTGGTATACAGTCCCCCCCACCCCGAGTATACTCCACTCTGCAACCTTCATTCCGGACTCTTATGATAATCATAATGCCCTATAATATATTGCTTTTAAACTGTTCTCTCCCTCATCCGTTTCAGTGAAGTATACATAATTCATCCAGTTTGTCTCATTCTTACCCTAACCCTGATGTTAGTCCCATTCTACAGCAGAGTGGCACTATGCAGTGTTTAGTTTTAGAAGCAAGGATATACAAGTTTCAACCATTAAAAAATGATACTTTTATTGCCCCAAAATACATTATAATGGAGTTAGGTATGTTGGAGTCAGTGAGACTGGCTCAGGACAGGGCAGGCTTCACAGTTGTTGTATTTAGGGTTGCTAGACCCTCTATGAGGTGGATTGATTCAG